ATGTGAACAATATATTTCTGCATATTCATTTGACATCCAACCTCCCAATGACTGTCTTGCTTGGGACACTTATGAGATCCTGAAATATGATATAATTCTTCAAATAATAGAGTGAGTGTACATATCTGTCCCATTTAGAGTGATGAGTAACTTTTTTTTTTTCCTGTGGGCTACGGAGAAGCAAGACTGTAATCTCACTGGCATGAATTATTTAATAGCCATTTGGAGGGTCTGAATGGTGCATCCCAAAAATGATCACCGCAGAGTTAGACTACACTGAAATGGGTTCACAGTATTTCTAACTCTGTGTATTATAAAATGAGAATGCCTTTAGGCATTTAAAATGATTTACAAGCCACAACTATTTACGTGGAGTACAAAATATAACCCCTTTGAAAATGAGGTCTTGTTGTCAAATCCTAATCCTTTTACCCACTTAAGCAGTGTTTTTAAATTGGCAACAAACATTACTACAGCACAAAACATTTGGGAAGTCGTGCAGTTCTTATCAAGTCCCAAAGTATTAGTGTTTTGTACTAAAACCAATTATTTGCATTTTGTTAAACCTAGGTTTCACAGTATCTCATTATTTATGTGACAACTAACACTGACCAGTGTTCCTGCTACTGATTAATAGGAAGAAAATGTATGAACACTATTAAGTCCAGGAAAGTACAACTTTTTACATAATCAAAAAATAGTTTGACTACATTGTTTACTTACAAATGCAACCATTCCATGCTCAAAAATTGTTTATATTGAAAATTAGTTTTAAAAATATAAGCTCTAAAGGAAAAAAGCATCCAAAATTTTCAGTGTGTTCAGAGTTGGGTGTGGGGACAGGTTCCCTCTGTTAATATAGTATTTTCTTTGCTGGGCCCATTGTAATGGAATACAATCTTAAGCTGTTTTCTGAAATTTATTATCAATAACAGTAGTTCACTGAATATTGAGGCTGAGCCTGTGGTCAGGGAAATTCAGTCTTTAAAGTCATTTCACCTGAGATGTTGGAGAGTTTGCCTTTATCTGTGCTGATGAGAAAATGTGGAAGAAGTTGTAATGAAGTATTTTCTGGTTGATGAGTATGGAAGTCTGGAGTAAGTGAAATCTTTGGAGAAACACAGCTACCACAGCTGTGTTCAATAGTTTCTTGATTATTTTTATTAAATCTTATAATTCTATATTTTTAAGGTACTGAGGTGTTTGGAACCACTGATGCCATTCCAATTGCAGTCTTGCCACTTATATAATTCGTGCTATGTAATTTTAGCTTTAAATATTTGATTATCGTGAAGTTCTCTTATCAAATGGGAGCATACCTGCTTGATTTTTACCTTTCTTAAAAAAGCCATTAAAATTCCTAGCAGTTTGTCCTGGGTGTTGGCAACAGGTACATCTGAGTTAATGAGGCATATGACTTCAATTTAGGTATAGGAAGGATAAATGTAATTCAGAATTGTATAACAAGCATCAGGAATCAGAGAGAGACTGTCAGTAGATAAATGTAGAAAAAGTCCAGGATACAAAATTAAATTTAGACTATATAATTTTTTACTACCTTGCCTTTGTATTTATTACCAGTTTGATGTAAATTTTGCATCTAAAATTTTGTTTAGTCCTGTGAAGTCGCATTTATTATATAGACCTTTCACTGATAGTCATATTTCTTTAAAAAACGATAATTATTTAAAAGAATATAAATGCTGCTTTAACAGAAACCAAAGCCTGGAACAAGAAATACAGGTTTGTGCTTGTCTTATGTTTTCTAGCTATAAAATAAATAAAAAATGTCAATTTGCAAAGCAGTACAATATATAACAATATATTTAAATTTTTCACACCAGCATAGGTATTTCTCCATGCTTTGTTTTATAACTGCTGTATTCTAGTTTCCCAGTTTCGTTAGGAAGTCACTATGAAAAGGCAAAATTTACTTAACAGTTTTTTGAAAAGTAAAACTGGAGTTTTATGTCTGGCAGCTTGTGTTGTGTAGTTAGATTTTTTTCTTGGTTCAGTGGAAATCTGAATATGTCAGAACTGGGTCTTGGCTAATCTCGATTTGACCTGGCCTTTTAAAAGCATTGTTCTTGTCACCATTTTCAGTTGCCTCTTCCCCCTGGGTGAAAAAGGTCTTCTCTGTCCTGCAGGAACCTGCAGGCTTGTTCAAAGAGCAATTATTTTTAAACCACGTGGTTTATCTAACGGGCAGTTTTTCCTTGTGAAAATACAATATTATCTTCCTGCACAGTCTAAGAAACACTTTAGTCTTGGAATTTCCAGGTGCAGTGCTTTTGTGTAAGAAAACACAGGTGGTTTTGTGGTGGGGGAATTCCAAGTGGCTGATGGTGATCCTTGGGTGCTGTGGTGATCTAGTCGAGAATCACCTGTACTGTCAGGAATATCAGAAGATTTAAGATGATACGAAATTCCTTGTCCCTGATGACTTTAAATAAACACTAATTCTTGGGGAAATTTATTTTCCTAGTGACAAGACGGTCCTCTCAACGGAATATGTGTGTGTGCAAGGAACATCTTACATTTTACTGTGGTAATAATGAAAAACCCAACTAGGGAAAATTTCTGAGAGTTAAATGCATTTTATCTTTGACTGATTTTGCAGAGGTACAGAACAATTTCAGTAGAAGTCTTCATGTTGCCCTTAGGGGTCAATAAGTAATGTTCAGGTGTTTTCAGTAAAGCTGCATACATATCTAAATGACTGGTACTTGTTTCTAGGTGGAAAGTGAACTATCGAAGTGGCCAATAAATTATTTTTTTTATATAGTAGGCTTTTGTTTATACCAGGATCTTAACATCATAGCAGAAGGCACCTATGAATGCTTAGTTCTAATTAGTGGTAGAATAAGGTCTGCAATGAAGTAACACTTGATTATACTTTAGATGTGTCAGATCTATTTTAGAACACTAACCCAAATTAAATGTATTTAATGGGCCATATGGTACTCTTCATTTTCTTGAATTTGTAATATAAACCTGTAACATGATGCTAAAACCCAAAATGAACTCCAGAGAAATAAAATTATTCAATTATGAATAGCATGTGCATCCTTGCACTGACATGAAGCACTCCATGATTACTGGCTAACCAGTGGCTTGATTGAAGCCCAGCCTGAGCAGCTGAGTGCTCTAAATAGTGCCTAGTGTGTGTTTTTACTGTCAGGCTCACTAGCTGAAGAAATGTAGTTTGGCTACTCTATACCATAGAGAGTTAGCTGCATGTAGCTGGCAATTTATTCTAGAAGCATTCTTAATGCTTTTTGAATAATCAAATTATTCAAATATTGGATTGAAATTGAATGTGCCAAGGTGTTTTCTGAGGGGCAGAATGCTGGCTGCATTCTGGGTTTCTGAAAAGGATGACATCTCTTGCTTCAGTTCCTGGTGTGCTCTCAGAATTGGGGGTTGGTGTATGTTCAGAATTAACCGTCAAAAGCTGTATTTCACATAATTCAGTAAGATTTAAACATTAAAGAAAGAACAGGCTATTCATCATTTATGAAACTTGGCCAGCTGTGTTGGGCAGTATGAGGAAGTGAGGAGAGACTAATTCAAGCTGCACTATACTGCATTAAACACTTAAAATTCCTGAAAGGAGCAGTGGATCTTCTATACATTTATATCCATAAAATTATAAGCATGGCTTTTTGGGTGGATGTGTCCTATGCAGTGGTTTTGAGTGGGAAAGATTGTAGAAGATACAGGTGTGGTTATTTAAAAACATTTTTGGAAATGAGTTTATGGTTTGGACTTCTGCTGTTTCTGTCGTAACTTTTTGGATGGACCTTGCACAACTGTGAATTTATGTAAGAATGGCAGGAACAGAAATGTTTAACAAAAAAAGGGAGTGATATAACCATCTTTCAAAAATACTTACGAAATAGAAGCTATTTTTTGAAGGTATTTAAAAATAATTTTCTGTGAGAATCTGCAGCCCTTATTTAGACTGGGTAATATGCAATTGCATTCTTCATAGCACTGAAATGAAACTGTGAAGCAATAATTATGCTAATTTTAAGACGGAAAAATACTATGATTTGTCTCTGTCTAACTCTTAAAACATTTTCCTGACAACCTCAGGACTTTAATGTACAGAATTTGCTGTACTAATGTTAAAGGAGAACTAATCTTACACTGCTCTGGTAGCAAACAAGTAATTTAGTAGGTAGATATGAGGAAGTTGTTATATTATATAAACTGTTACCTAAATGCAAATAATCCCAGTACTTCAACTTCCTAACATTCTTGAAAAGCTAACAAGCTAAGTAGCTTATTTGCTATAATTGATGTTGAAAGCCTTTGTGCCTACTGTTTATTAAGTGTTTAATTACCTGATATATTTGAAAGCTACACTAGTATCTAGCACTCAGTCTGGGGCTTATTTTCCAGTTCTCATCTTACATTTATTACAATTCTGTTGCTAAGATTTCACCATTAAATACTTAACGAGAAAGAAATACAAAGATGTCACTGGCAAGAATTGTTTTAAGCAACTTACCCAGAAAATGTGTACTATATATCTTTAGCCATTTAATTATGTTTTTCTCTTAAGTCCTACTCTGCAACTGCAGCAAATTCTTTACATTGTCAGCATTTCAGTGACCATAGATACCTTGAATATGATCATCTCATTCGACTTTTTGTTGTAGCAGAACATGCTATAACTGAATAAAGAATTGATTCCTTAGTAGCCATTAAAGACCTCAAAATATTTTTCCAAATGGAACCATGATGACCTCTAATATCCTGGCCAATATGGGACATTCCTTGCTGCTTCTCTTCCCTCTCCTAACATCTCAGTTAAATATTACTTTCTTTTTCCTCTGAAAAACTCAGCCATGTTGCAGCAAACTTCATTCTCTGCTTTGTTCAAGATGCTTCAACCCAAAGAATGCCATGTAAATGAGATGCTGCTACAAGTCAAGAATCTGGTTGCAAATAAGTAGAGCTTTGATTTTTTTTTTTTTTTTTTTTTTTTTCAGAGCCAGAGCCTCAATTGTGTGGAAAAGACTAGATGTCCAGGATCTAATGTGAGTTCTGTGCAGATACAGGGTGATTCAGACTATTTCATCAACCATCTCGGAGTACCTGCCACGCAGTTTTCTTACGAGGACATCAAAACTTCAGAGGTAGCTGTGAATAAAAAATGGACAAACTGAAAATAACAGAGAGATAGAATTATATTTTCTCAGGTTATATCCTCACATGACAAGCATGTTGTACTGGAAAGTTATCTCCTGTAAGAGCATTTTTTTAATTCTCCAGAGGATTACCACAGAGCTTCAAAGGGACTGGTTTTGCAGGGATATGGTATTCAAAGAAACAGATAAAAATTGGAGGGCGTTATGTTATTATGTTAAAAATGTTAATAATTCTGATAGTTTTATAGGTTACATATCATCTAACCCACCTTTTCAGGCTGTTTTCAACATAGAGGAAACAGGTATTGGTGTATAATTTTTTACTGCACAGTAGGATGATACCGGCTTCAAAATGAATTTTATATCCATTTTCATACTGTGGCAAAATATGATTCTGTAGTATAAATGTTGGTGGTAAAGATCTTGATGGAGTCCTCAAAACACCATGTTCTTTTTCAGTCCAGCAGCCTCTGCGAGGTAAGTGGAAGGAAGAGGCATTTTTCACTGTTTGGGGACTGGGTGGGAATTGGACACAGATAAACTGTTAGGAAAGTTTATCCTTCCTCAGCTTTCACTACTGTAGGTTATTTGCCCCTGGACAACTCAAATATTCTCAGTTGGTCAGCTGAAGATCAGGAAACTTGGGGTATTAGTTATTCCAAGATAAAATAGGCATGAGAAAAGGTGTGTGTTTTCTTGGAAATGTAATGATGCATTGACTTCATATTCTCCTCATTTCTCTTTTGCACTGTGCTCATCTCCATATGCACACATCTTTCCAAGTTCAGGAACAAAGCTGAAGCTGGGCTGAACTGGAATGCTTCCTGACACTGCATGCTAATGTTTCTCTTTCATAGATGCAAAACAAAGCAGAGATGTGCCAAATACAGAGCATTGCTGTCATGTCGTTGTGTAAATTGAAATAGATTAAGTCAAGAATTTATATAAATAAGGAGACTTCTGTGTTCTAAACTTCATGGCACCTATTAGGCAAAGTTTTCCATTTCAGATTAAACACAAGGCAAAGGCTGTAAGGAAAATGTGAAGGCGGAAGACTTATGAGTGCAATGTTTATGACAGGCTTTTGGTCCAGAGTGAATTTTTGTTGTCACTTAGCAGCTACTCCACGTAGTTTTCATTCAAGATCTGTGTATTTAGGATCTATAGTGCATGAGAAAGAATCTGCAAACTTCAGTATATCAAAATAGTATTTCCCAGCAACATTTACAATATGACACTGAAGGTTCCTTTGGCTATTGTCTACTTTAATCCACAGTTATTGTTCGTGTTCAGTTAACCTTGTAAATATGCATTTTTGGTTCCACGGAATGACTCAGCAATGTAATTAAAATCATAAAAGGAAGTGTTTCCCTATTTGCTTAAACATGACACTGTAAATTTGGTTCTTTGTTAAAAACTCAGCTTTTGTCCTTGCAAAATCATTTCCTAGACATAAACTTAGTAGGTGTAATCTGCAACCTTGAAGTAGATGTGCTACACTTCTCAGACCATAGGAGACCTTGACCCCATGAGATCTATTTGATGTGAGAAATAAATCTGCTTGGCAAAATGTGTAAATTTCTATTGGTAAGAGGGTGGACCTTTTTCCTAAAAGTGAAGTTATTCAAAATTATTAATTTTGGATTATTTGCTCTGTTCTTATTATTTATTGCACTGATTGTTAACAGTCCTTCAGAAGATAGGCTTGTTGTCTTTCCTGTATTCTATCAACAAGCAAGCTTGTTTATTTTTGGTGCTTATTGGAATTGTTTATTGTGGATTCTGTTCATTGTATCAAACAGAGATATTATAAGGCAGATAAATTATTCTGTTTACAGCCATATTAATAAACACTGTTAGGAATTTCTGTTATGCAGGTTAGCGACTGATAATAATCTGTTGGTTTGCAGAGAGGGATTTTTGTTTGTTTGTTTCCAAGCCATTCAGTTTTTTTAAATTATGCCTCAACTTTGTCAGCTTCATTGCAAAACAAGATTGGGGAGAGCAGATTTCAGAAATGAGCTGTTTTGACATGCTTTTGTAGACTATCATTTTGCCAGGTTGGTTTCCTTTGCTCTCCCTTCCACTGCTGTGACCTGCTCAGGAATTGGTCTTCCTTTGGAATATACATTAGTTGTTTATCTTACCCACCTGTCAGCCAGCATGCAGTGTCACGTAAAACTGATGCTATTCCACAGTCAAAAAAACCTTTTTTAGAGTAAAAAAGCCCAAAGACCTGTGCTTGTATCCTGCCTACAGAGCAGCAGCTGCAGGTCAGCTTTAGAAATGCATTTCTTATACAGCCAGTGCAGTGCTGGTCTGCAGAGAGAAGGTTATAAAAGCCTTTCATTGACAGGAACCTGAGGAGTAAATAAGAGGAAATAAAAGTTGTAAGAGGAAACGTTCAGGCCAGAAGAGTAAGTAAAACTGTCTGGCTTGAAATTGCATAATACAGTGACCCACAGCCTCAGGGAGGTTAAATCTACCTGGCAAATGCCCGTGGTCACATCTGTGAGCCAGTAAAGTGCATTCTGAGAATTCAACCACTACTATAAAAATGCACTGAGTGAAATGCAGCTCATTTATTCGCTAGCAGGAAATATGCAGCATTTTAGTTTCAAAGTAAGTAAACTTGGAAGAATTTCTCAAGTGGAAAAAAACATAGTATTACACCAGTTTCCAAGGATTCTCTTGCAGTTGCTGAAGAAAGCCTTCCTGTCCTTATACCTTCTGGTGCACTGGCTTTTACTCCACATGAGGGTCACATTCTGATTTGTAATGTTTTAGGAGAAAGGCTAATCAGATTTTCCTACTACTGCTGATTCTCTTACTTTCAGGAGGAGTCATACTATTAAAGGTAATGGTTCATTTGCGTCCAAGTGACTATGTAGAGCCTCCAGAGAGAGACATAATGTTGACTTTAAATCAGAGTTGCTATTACTGAAGGCCATGATTCTATTAATCTTCACCTCAGCAGAGAATAGTATTAGAAACATATTCACTTAGCTTTACATCAACAAGGAAGAGCAACATAAACGAAAAGAGATCTTAGATCACAGTCTTGTCTTAATTACTCTCTGTACTGCAGTAAAAGCTGGATATTAATCAAATTAATCATATGAGCATCAATACATCTGTAATAACAAACTTGGAGCAAGTGAGTAAATTCTGATTTTTTTTTCCATATATGGATTATTTCTTTTCTTTTGAATGCTTGTATGACAATGTAGTTTCAAACCAAAAAATGATGTAACAGGTATAATACATACACATCCTCCATAATGACAGAAAATATATGCATATAACAGACAAAAGTGCAGGTTTGGACACATCACTGTTCTTCACAACTCTGCTTAGTGTCTTAGATATAAATTCTTTACCTGTAGTGTTTCAATTTTGTAAACAAAACATGTCATCTACATGACTAAAACTCAGCTCTTGGTTACCTGATTGTAAATTAGAAATAACTCTGAAAACACTGGGTATGGTGGTGTATGATCTGAAGAACACGTATTCAGTTTCCATTTGAATTTATCTTAGTTATTTTTGAATGGATATACATGGATCGTGTGCCTGTGTAATAGAAAATACTGCTCTATCACTTATAGCTTATGTTGTTTCTCTTTCCTTACACATCTTTTTTTATCCTTCTCTGGTGTTTTTTGACATTTTTTAAATTTGCATGTTATCGGAAATTCTAGTATTAAATGGTTTATTTCAGTTGTGAGAGTGATGACTGTGTTCTTCCATATGAAGTGACATTCACTGCAGACTAAACTCTGCTCTTGTGAATGATCGACACAATACAAAAAAAAAAGCATTTAAAATTATCAAAACTTCACAGCACTAAAAGTTTCATTAGTCAGATATGTGGCTGTGGTAACAGAAAATGCTTTTAGTCACAGTGACTGCTTACTTGCTAACTTGTATGAAATTTCTTATATCTGGAGACATGAGTGAGAAAGAAATATGAATCCATGTCTTAAAATGTTGTTTGGCATAAATCCTTCATTTCATTTTTACACTGCATTTATTATATAAAAACAGCATAGTCTTGAAAATTTTGTGTTGTTTCCTGTCTCTAGCTAAAGTTTTATATAGTTTTATCTGTTGGAGAGACTCAGTACTTCAGAAGTTTATCCATAACTCCTCTTTACACTGCTTTTATTTCTCTACCTTATTTCTTTAAGCTTTGCCTTGTTTGTCTGGATTTTTTTTTCATACGAGCATCATCTCTATAATTTTCTGTCCTTCCAGTGGAACACCTTAAAAATGTAGTTTGCTCTGCTGGAGTCAACATTCCGATGGCAACACTTGCCTTTTTTCTTTCATGAGAAGGGACAGAGAAAAGTAGCTTATAAAACCTCTATATTTGGAAGTGTATTGTGTAATGAGAAAACAACCAACCCCCTAGTTGCAAGTTAATTTATTTTGGTTGTTTTTTTCACAGCACAGTTTATAGCACAGCTGCTGAAGTCCTGGAGCATAAGTACATCACAGAGACTGAGAAACAGAACCTTGCTGTGACTGCCTAATGTTTGGGTACAAGAGAAAATATAAACTGGATTTTCCATGGTTTCAGTTAGAGATTTGATTGTTTCTTTATCATTGTAAATCAAACAACATTGAGCGGTTTAGTATTTTGAGGCTGATTCAATCACTTGCAAACTTAAGCTGGTACAGGTGTATTTTGAGCCTTTTTCAGGATGGAAATTGAATGTTATTACCCATATTTGTGTCATTGCAGTCAGCAGTTTCACGAGGAATCAGGTGGTTTTTAAATTATAGCTAGATGATTTCCTATGCTGTCTGCATATTATTCATCCTTCTTGGAGCATCCTATTACATAATGATTCCTATCTGATAACACAGAATCTTAAATCCCCTCTGTGATATTGTGGTAGGTTATATCAACATTAGCATTATCATTTAGTTGTTAATAAAACCAATTACTGCGCATGCACATTATTAAAAAGAAAACCCCACAC